CCTCCCTCCCAGCATGCTCAGTGCCCCCTTCTAGAAGGTTCTGCAGTGTCCGGGTTCCCTGATTCAGCGCCACCCACCTATCACAATTAAGAGTGCACTAGCATCATATTTCTTTTTTTTTTTCTCTTTTTTTTTTTTTTTTTTTTTTTTTTTTTTTTTAAATTACACTAGAGGCAGTGAGCCTAGGAGCCAAATTTCAGGTGGACACAATCAATGCTGTATGACAAGAAAAGAGAAGAGGACATGACACCACACCATGGCTGCTCACTGGCAGGATGCTGTTAAAAGCATTCCTCGCAGTTGCTCCGCAACAATTTAACGTTTTGCTTAAACCTGGGAAGTTTTGTTGTAAAGCACCTCTGTGTAGACAATTAGTATGAGCCACCTAATTAACTCAATTCCAATTTATTTACCTCAGCAGCAGCTGCTGTTGGGCGCGGTTCCGGGTGTTTTACATAACCATTGCTTCCCCATGGAGGAGGTTTCCTGGCAGACTTTTAAAAGGGGAAAGAGGCCAAGGCCCAGCAGCATGTCCTATACCACTGGCTCCAAGAGCTACTGGGCATCTTTCACCACTGCCTCCCCCAAAACAAGGCCTGAGGAGGTGAATCCTCTGCCTCAGGGTGGGAGGGACCTGCCTCTCCCATGCCTGGTGTCCGTGCCTGCAAACCACACTGACCACACCTGGGCATATTTAGAAAAGTCACGGTCTTCTTGTGAATTCACGAGCTAGTACTTTTGGCGAGCCAAGATCTGCATTTGCAGGATTACATACTTCTTTCAAGCTGAGCTACAGATAATAGCGGTTCCCTTGGCTGCATAGCTTAAACAGCGGTGGGAAATGATCTCCAACAACAGCAATGGATTTAAGCAATTTATTGACATCTTTTCAGCAGTTTTCAAACTATTAGGCTAGGACAAAATCATCTAAATTATTCACTCTCTTCTAGAGCCCCACAGTAAGGCTTGCGCAATGTATAAAGTTACAGATATGGTCGTCTTTTTTTTTTTTTTTAAATTCCCTGACTTTCTAAGAGATGACAACAATTTATTCCAGAGTGTGTTTCTTTTTTTAAAAAAAGCAAGTGCACACCTCGCACCAGGGCTGAGCTGGAGGGATATGGCCCCCTTTTCAGCACAATACTTAAACCTTCAAAAAGCACACTCTGCTTATGATTACACACCAGCTTAATGGGGGCCTCTACCATGCTGTTCAGGACAGGGAACGTTTTGAGTTTTCCTGAAGTCTAGGAAGTTATAAAGTGGTTTGCAAAATTTACAATTACAACAAAGGTTTGTTCTTCCCTAATTGTTTTGCTGGGAAAGCAAACAATGCCAACAGAAATGCCAACATTCAATTCTAGGAAAAGGCCACAACATACCATATTTATCTTCTGGTTCATTGCACGCAGTATTTGCATTGTAACTGCTGTTGAGGGTCCAGCTCTGAGGAGGACCTGTCAGATATCTCAGTGGCACCACACACCAGGACAGAAAAGAGCTTAGTGAGCTCTGAATGTTAAGGACTTGTATTCAAGGCCGTGTGCAATGAATGGTTTTCCCCAAAGCAGAACAAACACAAGGCAATACTATCTATTGTTTGAAGTCCCGAATCAAGATGATTATTCAGATTCCAATAAACATAACTCAACAGTTCAGCTTCCAGCCATCATTATCATGGGGTAACCCTATAGAAAACATACATAGCTGCACTGGTTTAAAAAGATAGCAAGCTCTTCCCTAAAAAAACTTTTCTCCGAATGCAATCCATTGATTTTCTAGCTGTGACTCAAGACCCATCTGAAACAGTGAAATGTAAAGATAAATATTACCCAAAATATCAAACTATATGGTTCAGGCTGATGATGTTGGTGGGTCACTCCTAAAGGAGACATGTGGCTGGAGATGGTCCCAAGAATGGGAACAGATGGGAGGGAACTGGGCAGCTGTAAGCAGGCAACGCAGAGCAATGCTGCTGCAAGCTGAGAGAGAAAAGCGGAGCAATGCCAACCTTCTTCTCCTGCTACCTAGTGTGAAGACTGCTCACAGGGGAGCTGGTGAACAGAAGTGATCAGCAGCCCTCACATGATGTCCTTCTTGCAGCCCAGACACACACGTGAGATCTAGAAGTTCTGGGCTGGGAATTTTATGCGTCAGATGTTTCTTCGCCCAACATAAGTGTGACAAGACCCTTCACTAATCACAGCTGAGGCCCCAGGTTTCAAACCAGAATTTTGAGGGTCAGCACAACTACCTGCCCTGATGCCTACTAACCCTTTGTGGGATCCCAAGAAATCTGAGGATTCGGCTGCACAGAACTGTCACAGTTGGGGCCAGGACAGCAAAGGACAGTGGCAAACACCGAGGTCTTGAAAAAACATGCCATGCATTGGGATGGGCTTCTGGGGGAGTGCAGAACAGTGACTGTCAATCTTTACAAGTATTTCATTGTGATATAGCAATAAGCTGTGTTGTGGACATGGTGGAATGGGCACTTCATATATGTATGCAATTAATCAGTCTCTCTTATTGTTTCCCTTAATCTTTAATTATGTCAGGGCACTATAAATCTATGAAGGAAAAAATGGGTAGTAACTGAAATCAATGAAAAAGTCTTATGAACATGTAAAGTTATTAGAGAAATACAAGGATTTTAATTAAAGATGCTGGCTCCAAGCAAAAATGCTGGGTTACCCTGATTGATCTAAGCTGCTGGTTCAGCTCTTTCTGTCTCCCCCACCAGGCTTTCGCTTGCCTTTTGCAGCTCTAATTGGGTACTTACTGTATCGGCACCTTCTTTTTCTCAGCAACATCAGCTGCACAAAGACTGTATAAATACAGCTATGCTCAGGCCAAACTCCTGTACACATACACAGTCATGGAGCATTTTACATTTGCTGAATGTTTATGTTTTGGTTTGATTTAATGGTTATTTGCCTTTTTTGCATTCCCTTAGTTGGGCCTATATTTTAATTTAGATTTTTCTCTTTTGTTTCAGTTACATTTCTCTAGGACAAAGTGTGTAATCTGTGATTTTAATAAAATAATGCATTCAATTTGTAAATGTTTCGATTTCTTTTCATATGAAAAGTTAAAAAAACCCTGAACAACCTTTTTAACAGACATCAACAGCAAAAATAGTAACAACCTAACCATAGATTTTCAAATTTGATTAGTAACTTCCAAAAGCATTTGTTCTTGTGGTTTTTTTAGTGGTTTATATTCTATTTAGTGGGTACCCAATACTCTTTGAGAAACAGATTCTTTTTTAAAGTATTTCCTGACACCGAAACAAAGAACACCGTCTAGCTTTTAAATGTGCAATATTAATATTTACTAATATTTTAATTATAAAAGAAAACATAAAACAGTACCCTGAAATTACATTTTCTCTACCTCCTAACAGAACAGTTTATTTTAAATTTCCTATTAATTGTCTTCTTAAATACGTACATTTTCTTGTCACATTTAGAGGGACATCAGAACAGAGTTAGATGCAGGTGGTGTTTCAGATAGAGTTAGAAGTATAGACAGACATTGCTGGAAGGCAATGTAAGAATCAGTTAGGTAGATGATATTCATGCAAAAAACAAAAGGATTTTGATTTTTTTTCCTTATGTAATTTGAAATTAAAGACACGGATTAAGATCTTTCATTTTTTTATCCTTTCCCAGCAAAATAATTTAAATCTTATCTTGGGAGGGTGCCTCATTAGAATTCTTGCTTCAGTGACTCCATTAAAAAAAATAAATTATTAAAATGCAGATGTGCCTCTGAGTTGTTTCTAGGAACAAAATAGTTTGACGCTGGGACGTAGTACTGCTGAAGTGTTTTCCTACACGTGTTTGAAAGACGTGCATGCCCAAGGTGACTAGGTTAAGGTATATGCTATGTTTGTGATACCATCATCCTATCTCCAGCTTGTATCTAGGAAATAACATTTATAAGCTTGAAAGCCAGGCATTTTTTTTAAAGTCAGAAATAAAGGCAGGAAAAGCACGGCATCACTTGCATTCTTATGTTTGTAGTCCCTACTCATATTCTCAGCTTCAAACAGTTTGCAGAAACCACATTTTGAGAAAGTGCAATGAAGAAATTCCCATTGCCAGCCTAATATTCAGTCTTTTCCTTAAATCCTGCTGTTTATCCAAGGTACAGAGAGGTCAGGGATGCAAGGAGGAAGTATAACTCCTGTCCCTGACAAACAGAGGTTGCAGAGTGTGCTCGAAAGTAAAAGGCCTCAGAGTAGCTATTTCAAATTAGAAATGTGTGAACTGTGTACCTCCCTGGAACTTAGATGGTATATGTCTTTCCATAGTTTATTTTAAATCCACGGTTGTGCCTTAGCCTGTCCCGCTGATTGGATTTGAGAGCGCAGTCACTGTGAAGAGAGCTGTCACTCCTGAAGCAAACTACCATGCAGCTCTGCTAAGCTTCTGACTTCTCAACACTGCAGATAAGTTTTTCTCTCTCTGGTTTTACTGCATTAATCCACCAAATCAGTTCACTTATCTCAGAGCAGTGCTTTGTAGAGGTTGAGACCATGGGAGCTGATCCTGCTACGTGGACTTCTGCAGCCACACAGACTTCTTCAGCCACACAGAGTCCAGTTGCACTTTCCAACTTTACATGAGGCTGGAGCCTCTGCTTGCTGGAGCCAAGGCCTGAACCAGGATCGTATCATCTTTATATAACTGTCAAGGTTTTACAGTATTCCTGGGTAAGCTAACCACATACGACCTGTCTACTCAAGTCTGCTTAAGTTTGGATGAATTACCCAGGTTCTTACAGAGTTACTAGTTTTAATAGACAAAAAGGCCTCTCATTAGGACAGAGAAAGAACTAGCATTAATTAATTCTAACCACAATATGAAATAATTTGGTCAAGTAGGGTTTAAGTCCTTTTCCATTACCTATCTTCAGCACATAACCTTGATGTAAGGAGGCTTTCTGAGCATTGACTTCTTTGGGGCTTTCATAAAGACTGGCAGCAAAGGAAGGAGACGTACTAGCTTGATTCAGAAAAGAACCTGCTTAGCATCACTGCACCTGGTTTGTTATACAGTTAGCCCTACAACCTTTCCTAAAGCATTTTTAATCACACCCGCAGATAAAGCTCAATATGAAACAGTAACATAAGAACATGTTAACTACAGCAGAGCTGTAACTGTCATCAGCCAATGCTCCTGAACGAAAAGCAGTGCCTGGCAGGGTGGCAGAGCCTCTGCAGGCGCACAGCTCCGTCACCTGTCCCCCTCGCTTTGCCACAGACAGGAGGACAGCTTGGATTTCCTGCTCGTGCTCACTCGTAAAGCGTTCATCTCAAGCTGTCTGCCATTTCTAATTTCCTCTTATCTCTTACTCCAAGTAGTCAAAAAAAAAAATTTAAAAAAAAAAGAGGTATAGTTGCACTGTTCCTAATATTTCCAACAAAAAAGACAGATGACATTGGGCTATCATCAGTTGAGAGAGTTAGTTGGTGTGCTTTCTTGATAGCGGTTAATTTGTCACAGTCCCTTCCTCCTATCTACAACTCAACCAAGGAAACAAGCACAAGCTACAGCAGTGCTCCCTGAGTGAGACTGCAGCAACCATTTCATTTCCTAGGAAGAGTGACTCTAGTAAACGCAACCAATTTCCACCCTCCTAAATTTCAAAGAAAGGAAACGTAAAGGATAGCTCTATTCCTGTAAGGGGGAAAAAAATAAAAAACCTGTAGGAAAAGACAGCTCTCAGTTTTCTCCTCTTTTATATTTGCTAATAGTTTCTCCTCTTTTATATTTGCTAATATTGTGACTGCACTTCTAGCTCTTTAGCGCCTATCTGAAGGAGCTGAAAGCACACAAGGAAGAAACTCTCTCAGTGTAGTTCTTTTCTATTAATTTTAATGTGCTCTAAATTCAAGAGGACATACAGACATTGAGAACAACCCTTCACTTACTAATTCCTTCACAAAAAACTTCTATTCTCTCTTTCAGTACAACTCAAATACATTCTGAAGTTATTATAAAGAGAACAATTCTGCAAGATAACTAATATTCCCAGGCTCCCACTGAAATTAACAGAATATTTTGGCATTAGGAACTTTGCAGTGTCAAGTCGTCATTAAAGATCTCCAAATCTGCCTTGTAGTTTTTTCTATTCCTACAGTATTCATTTCAGTGTATTCCAAAGTAACTGTCAGTATTCTCAGGAGCCGTGCTCCGTGTTGCCACCAAGAAGTGAAAAGAAAATTCAAGTTAGCTTAAGCATTTTTAGAAAGCACAAGGGAGGAAAGAGAAACATAAATGCACACTGGTGGAAAAAAGGGAGACCATCTGTTGGTACAAACATGCAGATAAAAAATTCAAATCTTTTAGAATTATACTAAAACCAGAATTTATAGCATCCCTTCACAATTAAAGAAAAGAAGGGTCCCCATTACATAATTTTTCAGTCCTGTGTTTCTCAGGCTCTTGCATACTTACAGGTCTGGCAGTGATTCTCTGTGGGTCCCCAGCATCGGCCTGTGCAGGATTTGTGGCATCGGCCACCTGCAGGGCAGACAGAAAGAGAGAGAGATTAGAAATGTGGCTTCCTGTCATTTTGTCAACATCCAGCAACTGCTAAAGAGGAGGGTCCATCTTGTCTTTCAAAGGTTTTTATGCTTTACCAGGGTTGAAACAGTGCCTGTAAAAAAGGCCCAGATAAACAGCCAGAATTGGTGTCAAACATATATGCAATATGTCTACTTATCTAAGTGCTTTATACCCTAAATACCTCTCTGCTATGTATAACGTCTGGGAAATTTTAAAACAAAAAAAGATGAACAAGCCTGGAGGACTACGGAACAATTTCATCAACCACTGCTATTACTGTTGCTCTCTATGTCCTATGTAAGACCCACTCATTCCTCCACAGGGGAAGAGATGGCTGTGCTAGAGAGGATATCTACCTATCTAATGTTCAATTTCATCTGAACAATGGGGCAATAGACTCAACACCTTTGATTAACAGCCACCCCTCACCCCCAGAAGCTTGCAAAGTCTTCATGTCCAATGTCACAATAAAGAAAATGTGCCCTATGCAACCACTTAACCCCAGAGACAGCTAAGCTTGTGGGACCTCTCCTTTTCTGGCTGCTGGTTCTCTAGTTACCTGTGTTTGTGCTTCTGAAGGAACCTCATGTTCCTTTGGAATCTAGAGGTTGATGCTCTACGTGGTCCTTCCACATGCTGACAGGTTTAGTCCCTCAAGAAAAGGAACTGTAGGTGTTTTCATTGTAAAATACAGACAGAAGAGGAAGAGTTAGAAATGGCAGCTTTTACAAACAAACTACCTACTAATTAGTGACTGAAACCTGCTTGGACTCAAGAGGGAGTTGAGTTCACATCTCCCATTTCATGGCTCAATGCTGACCACTGTGTGAGGAAATGGAAAGCAGGCAGAAAAACTGGAACATTCTCTGGCTGCATCTTTTGTTATTTGAGAAAACACTCAGACGGTCCCATGCCAGTCCTGACTGCGAGTGAATGGAGATCTCATTCTGCAGCTCCCATCCATATATGGCCAGAGCTCAGTCACGCTCCTGCTCTTAGTGCTTCTCCCTCCTGGATGCTGAATGCTCCCAGAGCACACATGGAGAGCCTGCCTCACTGAACCCTGAGCCCTAGCTGCTAAAACCCAGGTGTGGCAGTGCCTGAGCTGTGGGCAGCCAAGCCCTTTGCACCTAGCCAGACCTGAAGGGGTGAACTGAGAAACCCAACGTAAGCACAGTTGAGGACTATGCACAGTCCTTATCGCTGCTCTTTTGACCATAGGAACCTAACCTCGTCTTTGATTAAACTTCTATTCATCACTGAATGCTGCTGAGATTCTATTAAGCGAATTTCCCCTTTGAACCTGATCCAGAAGCTTACCTTTCAATCCTGTATTAACAGCAGCTGCTGTTACCACTGCTCCATTACACTAAATCAAATACTTCCCACATGCCCTGATGGGTGATAGTGTTGGAGAAAATGCAAAATGTCTCTCAGCAAAGGTTGGATCACCCCAAAAGAAAACACTGCTCCTCTGATAGCAGCACACTTATACCTTACCTCTTATAGCTTATATGCTCTTATATGGGATGTTATACAGTTGAGCAAACTCACTGTGACAGTTGTGTAGAGTCGGACTTTCTGTCACTACTTTTTCAAAGCCAGTGTTCTTTCCTCAGCACTCGCGCAGCATTCATGGCGCTAGTGATGATGTTGTATGGTAATTACCACACTGTATGCCAACTACCTTGTTAAAACTACCAGCTCCTTGCTGCATTCACATTCATTTAATTCAATTCTACTCGGGAAGCGTTGTTGCTGACATCACCAGCAAATAATTTGCTGTCATATTCTGCCATCTGTTTATTTAGATCACAAATGTACTATAACTACGTAATGCAAACTCATTCTGGCTGACAGGGAGGGGACTCCATCTGGCATGAATAATGCAACTTTAATCAGTAATAATGATTATTATGATTATTAAGAGACTAGTGGAACCCTGTGCAGAAAGCAAATACATCCATATTGATTCATAAGAATGGAAGTTTAAAAAGAAGGTGAGGTACAGAGCAAATTAAAGGAAGAATGTTAACAGAGGAGACTCAGTAAGATACAGTTTGTTGGCTTTGGTGCTCACCCAGCTGAATAAAAATGATCCCCAGGAAGTGCGTTTTATAAACTGGCTATTCCTGACCAAGAGAAGTGGGAAGGAGAAAGGGTAGAGCCCCAGATGCCCATTCAGGTAACCTTTTCACCACTTGCTTTGCTCAGTCCTCACCTGAGCAGGAGCATCCCTGCTGGGGGCAGCTAGAGAGAAACCACAACCCATGGACTATAGAGCCTCCTCTCGCAAGACTTGTTTTATGCCCAATCCTTCCTTGCGGTCAAATCTCATGCCTGTCTAGCTTAAGGGGTCTGAAGTTTGGGCAGAAAGCCAGAAGTCTTGCAGCTAGATGCAGTATGAAGCACTGCACAGATCACCTGTAACCACATATTCCTGAGGTAGAACAAGGCGCCAGCTTGGCTGTTTCTTCCTCTTTCTGTCCCTGGGTTCTACCCCCTTCCATAACATATTGTATGCACTGGGCTTTCCACCACAGTGCATGCAGTGAGATAATACAGAAGAAACGTGAAGCACCTCTCCAAGTGATCTCCAACTAGAGAGGCCTCCCACACTTCTGCAAAAGCTACACTTAAAATAAAAATTTTTGTATTTGAAACTCCCAGGCGCTGAGCTGACCCTCGGTACACAACCAAAAATGTATTCAAGCCAACTCTACTCCTCCTGGAAATAAAAGTGATCCAGCATCTTAAAAAATTATTTAAAATATTTTTTAACTTGCATGCCTGCTTCTTGGTACATGACTTTGGCCGTGTCAGATGATAATTTGCATTTAAATAGAAATATTTAACAATATAGCAAGAAAAGGCTGCCAGTTTTCTTTTTTCTCATTGGGAACTCCAAGTATCTGCTCCATTGTTTTCACTTTACTCAGCTGCACAGACACAAGGAGCCAAGCTTGTAGGCAGCACACCTCTGAACTGCACCGTTACACGGCCTTTTGAAGGTTAAATACACTGAGAATTAAAAACAAACCCCCAAATCCCTCCAAATAGCGTGTCTCTATTGGTTTGTTTGTTTAAAAAGAAAAATAACTTTCTTTGCTCTCAGAATGACCTGGTCCATATTCTGCCCTCACAAAACTCAGTATTTCACCTGTTTTTCCCCACTGTAATACAGACAGATTGCTACCCATTAAAGATCAGCTCTGTAAATCCAACATAAAATAGTTCCATGGAAGTCAACATAAGTAGCCAGGAGCATAAGAGGCACTCATGTGTGGAACAGGTCTCACGATTAGATCTGTATGTCAGGCTTAAACGATAATAAATCTATGGGCCCTAGGACTGATGAGGTCCTTGAAGTAGTTATACTGCTTCTCACAGATCTTTCTATATATTTCTTAGGATTTATAGATTGCAGTAAGCCAATAGATTTGAGAAAAAATTATCAAACAATTCTTGGTAAAAAAGAAATTATTCCTGTTATTCCTTCTGTCTCTAAAATATCCTAAAACCCTCCAACGTACAGCAATAAGGGCTAAAAGAAACAACAATGAAGAAATGGCAAACCATGAAACTGCAGAGGTGTTCTTCCTCTTGTTTTGATGCAGCAGAGAGTAAAGAGGCAGAACTCCTTCCTATGATTTCCTCCACTGGTTCTTCACATCAAAAGATGCTGAGTGTCCTAAAGTCCTGGTGGCAATTGGTGGGACCTAGGAACACTCAGCTGCAGTGAAACAGCCCATCTGTAACAACTCATCATATATGTTCTTACTGCAATCAAACAGTGATTCAAGAATTAGCTGGAATTTGGAAAAAAAAAACCCAACAAACATCTGCAGGGCTCTACCTTGTAAGCACTACCTTTGCTCATTCACTTAATTCTTGTACATTAGTGAAGGCACATAAGAAAAAAGGTGGTTTTTCTTTTCTAAATGAGATGGAGAGGAAGAGCCCGGAAAAGTCTCCTGCCTTGTTACAGATGTGACACCAAAGTACAGTTCTGCTCCTGAATAGTAGCACTCTTTTGCATACATGATGACATTTTATTCATTAGATTGCAGGGAGGAGGGAAGGAGTTAAAAGGAGGCTTAAATAATTTTTACGGGGTTTATTATGAAATCTAAGTTTAGAAAAGGCAGATTCCCACTGGAACATGAGAATGAATTTTGCTTTGGCAAATTCCACACAGAAAACCAATGGTTCACCTCCTGGGCTCATCTTCCCTTAGCCAATGCTACTGCAATGGATCTTCATTACGGACTCTGGTGCAGAGTATCATTGTTGTAACTTCCAGGATAGAGTTTTATTTGCAGGAGATGCTTCTGGTCTCCCAGCCAAGGAAAGTCACCAGCAGAAAACGTTTGCTCACTAGCTTGGGAAAGACCAAGGTTACTTCATCCTTGTGCTCTCCTGAGAGTTGAGAAGGGCTTTCCTTTGGCTCCAGACAGGAACAGTAAAACCGCAAAGGATTAAGTTACTGACAAGGGAAGAAAAATGAAGTCCTCCTCTTAGACCTAAGCTCAGTGTAGTACAGAGAAGAAACACTGCTGCTTCCCCATCAGCTATGCCAGCTGCCTCTAGCAGACCTCTGTCAGTAGGAGAAGGAAAGCAGAAATAAAAGAAGAAATGGTCTCACTTTGCACAAAGCTTGTATTTACAGATGGTTTCTACCAGGTTAATAAATCATTAATAAGTGTTAGTGTATCTGCAACACGCTGATACCGAAGTGTGAATAAACACATCCAAAATAAAGTGCCTTTGATGGTTACAAGCCATGGTTAATAAGCAGCCTCTTTACTTATCTAACAGTCTAAAATAATTGATTAACTACCAAAACATCTATAAATCACTTATTAGCTTCTGTAAGCTACTTACAAACTCATTCTTCACCTAAAAAATTCACTCCTGCAAAAATGCTAGAGATCCATATAGATGTTTCTACCCAT